TTCGAATGATCCTGTTGATTTCACACTCACTAAAAACCAGAATTTTGTAAAATTACTTCGAAGATTCAGGAAACCCACCCGGCTGCTTCTGTGCCAGCCAGCTCAGCGACCGTCTCTTCCCCGCTCTATGCTCTAGATTACGCTGTTCGTCAAATAAAGCATACACCCCATCACTAAGTACCCTTCGGAGCTCCGAACTATCCATGGTCTTAGTAAGACAGTCCGCCAGCATTGCCTGGCTATGAACCCACCGCATCTTACAATTTTCCTGAAGTCTTTCTCGAAGCAAGAGACATTCTAGCTGTGTACGCAGTTCAGAACAGTTGGGAACCGCTGTTTTGGTTGCTACGTCAAAGGCACTCTTGCAGTCGGTGACTAGTGAGGCACGAGGGGCCCCTTGCAAGACTTCTTCAGGATGTGCTAAGTCAATGCTCGGGTTCTTGAGCCACTCCCAAAACAAACGAATCCAGGACATGCGATCCAAAGATCCACACAGGGAAACAACTTCCGCACTCAGGGTACTCCGGACCACTCTACCTATTTTCTTAGAGGCCCAGGCTACTGGAACGATCACAGCCCTCTGATTATTGAGCATACGCCAGTCTGTGGCCATCACTAGAGTTCCTTGGTACGAGTTGTTATCTTTTGTGGAAGCAAAGGATGCATCCGAAAACGTGCAATACGTGAGGTGCTGCTCAGGAATTGGCACAACCATGATGGACACCGCATGCGATTTGGCTTCATGGAGCACCCTATTGGCTTCTGTTAAATGCCGAACCCGCCCCTTGGTTATCTGAGACTGAAGAAAACCCACTTTCGCGGCTATGTCCGGTCGGGTGTGTACAGCAGCGTATTGCAAACTTCCATTGAGGCGACGCAGCTCGTGGACCTCACTAGGATTTAGGGGACTATCGGGGTTCACCCTACGCTCTCGGGGAATATGAATAGGTTGAATCTTCTCCAAATACTGAATCTGGTCCATTTCTACGCTGCAGTCGTCCCATTGGCGGAACCGAATCCCAGTGAACACAAACTCCTCTTCGTCATATGACCCAAAACTATAAATATCCCTCAACTTCTGAATGACCTCCCCGAAGTAACTATCCCCCCCACCTAGGCCATCATCAACATGTATCCCCAAAACCCCCCGAACAAGAGGTTCGCCGTTGTTCTGCGGAGTGACCAGACAAAACGTGCAAGCATCAAAGGGACTCTGGATGAAGCCTAGATCTTCTAGGGTTTTCTTGAGAGTCTTGAACCATAAGAATGGAGCATCAATCCGTCCATATGCTCCTCCTTCAAGAAGGCACTGATCCGTTGGTCCCATTTTTAATGCTTGACGGATCTCAGGCGGAGGTCTGATGCCCAGCTTTCGGCCATCGCCCTTTCCCTGCAGAAAGGCTGTCGAAATATCAAAGTTGATGAGCTTCCATCCATTGGAGACTACTTTCTGGACGATGAGCTGTCGAGCATCTTTCCCCAAGGTTGGAGCATCGTTAGGGATAGTGGACAACTCAGGGTCCTCGAACCCCAACACCACCAACCTAGCTTTAGCCCTACGGGGCCCCCCTTCCTGGAGAGGAGCCTTCCATGTGAGTATCCACCTACACCTCATAAGTTGAGAATCATCGAGGGACCCTGCGGCTACTTTCCTAACCGTGCGGTGACTGAGCCATGCATCCACTTCTTTCCCTTTAGCCTCCAAAAACTGTTGACGATCGGCAGATGTGAGATCTCGCAATTGGACTTCCGTCCTCTTCTTTTGCCCAGAGCTGACTAACATTGCATACTGAAGAGCCTCACTTGGTGACGGAAGATCCTTCGGATCCACCTCTGTTTCGCACACATTGATTTCCCAAACCTGATCTTCACTCGGAAACGTGAGGAAACATTCTGTGTCCCCAAACAGGATATCATCATCCTCGTCTTCTGGTACGGGAATGTTTACGGGGTCCATAGGTGATTCGGGAACGACAGGTTCTGGGAGGACTTGAGGTTCAGGATCTAGCGAAGCTACAGGAGACACTTCCATTTCTGGCTGTTCTGCATTTGCAACTCCCCTGTTGCTTGGCCCAGCGTGTTCCATGATTGTGTCTCCATCTGGATTTGTGAGAGTCTCAGGATGAGGCACAGGCAGTTCCCCTTCTAGGTCTACTTCTTCCCTAGTAGGCAGTTCCCCTTGGGTTATGTCTACTACCCCCCTAGCGCTTCCTACTCCCTCCAGCCCAGATGAACTTCCTGAAGCCAACTGCCCTTGCTTCACAGCATGCCACTCACGAAGCGAGGCTGATCTCAAGTGTTCAGGAGAGGCTTTAATGAGCTGACCACTATGCGAGACCCATACCACCCTGCTATCCCCAGTGATGACCTGTGCCGGTCCATACCACCTTCCTCTCTCGCCTCGAGATCGGTGGCCGACCTTGCGTTGGCGCCAATAAAGCACCCAGCTGCCTGCAGGAAATGATGGAATGGTTGCCCTTGACTTCCTAAGTAAAGCTCTACGGTACGCTCCATCATTATCCACTCGGGCAAACGCCGCTCGGGCCTGCTCTCTTCTGAACAAGCTTTGCCTAAACGCTAAACCTTCTGGCAGAGAACTGTCGGCTAGAGCATGTGAAGCTGCTTGTTCATCGGAGATCAAGCTCGCGGGAAGGCGGGAGCTTTTGCCGAAAACTGCTTGCTCCGGCGTGAAGCCGCGAATGCGACTCAACGAATTTTTGGCCTGTATGGCCGCGCGGAGGCATAGTCTAAAATCAGCGTCACTAGCGATCACCTCCTCAGCATCCATCCTAGTGAGCATACTTTTGAGGATCTTTCCGTGTGCCTCCACCCGTCCAACTTGCCAATGGCTTTCACCAGCGGCAACCCGAACACAAATCCCATCTCTCTGGATCTTCTCTCTCCACTCATCTCCAATATACTCTCCAGCAGGATCCAGATACAGGAATTGACAGGGGCCTGCCCATTTGGTCCAACTATCTGTCAGGGCCTCATATTGGTCCTCAACTGTTCTCCCTGTTGCCGTGGCCTGATGGAACAGAGTGGCCTCATCAATGATATGTGTGAACATGTGCTGCTGACCACTCTTCCCTGTCCAGTAGGCAACATCCATCCCAACAACATCCCCAAAATCACCATCAACATGAATGCTTGCTGGTCTGGCAAGTTTCGGACCCGGAACCGTTTCCAGACACACACTGCAGGCATAATCCTTAGCCGCCTGAATAATACGAGGATCGGCCTTACGCTCTTCAAGAAACTTTGCCATGACTGCAGCGTCTGGATGTCCCAGATTTTGATGAAGACGCCCTACCTCCCGCTTTTCTTCTTCGTTCAATGCCATATACCCCGGCCCATGCCTAGGAACCATTAAAGGAGGGTGACCCAACTCAAGACCAGCGGGAGGCATGTTGGCGGTTTCCTTCATGGCCTGAACATTGCTCGAACACTTGGGCTGAACAGCACCTACGTCTCCCACCCGAGGAGAAGCATCTTCTTGATTTACTACGGGGCATCTCCCATGGGGTAAATCCACTTGGGGCCTACCCTCGGGGGCACTCCCTCTATGTGGCGCTTCTCCTTGGGATGGTCCAACGTGCTGTCTGAGTGCTCCATAAGCCGTCAAGCTGATTCTTGCAGGAACTGCTGGACGCCATCGTTTATATTTGGGGTTCCTAGTCCACTGTTCGGGCTCTCCATCAACCCTAACCTTCCCATCTTGCCTTGATACCACAATGGTCTGTCGGAGTGGAATGTCCTGCACTTCTACCCCTGGCTTAGGCAGTTGCACCCTGTTGGTACCACGGGCCATGACCACATGCTTGACTTGAAAATGCGGGATCAAACGCTGTGTGGCATTGACTACCTCATCCCCTTCACTAAAGTAGAACCGCCCTCGATTCACAACCCTAACCCCAAATCTCCTAAACAGTTCACCCCAACTATTAACTGACCCTTCCGCTTGATCCCGCAGAGTAGGATGAGGCTGCTTCCGCCATAGCCTCCGGCGCTTCACGACTTGCTTTGCACTGTCTAACAAACCATCTGCAATGTTCGAGTTGAAATCCCCTTCCCGCTTATGATCTACCACCAACAATTCTGATAGAAGAAGAGGAATACTACGATCAGTTACCATTGCCGTGGCTGCTTGGTCTGCAAGTCGGAGCGGCCTCGTGGTGCTGCGTTGTGTTGTCGTGTCATCGTTCCGATGTGCTGGTGAGGAAAGGATGGTGGGGGCAGTTCTGGTGTCCACCTTTTGATGAAGAGCTCTGGACGTGGTGTATACATATCGCTTGCGATTCAAGAAGTTGTTGCCACCCATCCTTCCCTCGGCCATGCTTTGAGATGGTCCATGGCAAGCGCACAACGTTTCTTCAAGAATGGCCCGCAGCTCGGAATCGCCTGTCAAAGACGAAGCTTCAAAGATATTCCGGTCACTGCATAAATGGAAGTGCCTTCCAAGTTCCACTTGGTGTTCGTACAGATCCAATAGAGTCGAATTGGACCCGAATACCTTGGAAGGTATCGTCCCTCCACAGTCTATCCACAGGTGTCGGGGCTCATACATGTAAATCAGCTGCCAGATCTTGTTCGCATTGAAGGTTTTGAGGGAAACTATTCGGCCCCGACATCTGCGAACCGCGTTGCCAACTGAACCATCTGTCAGCGTGATCTCCAAAACATCGAGTCGAGGGAGTTTGTGTTGCATCCAATCATGGGCTTTGGTGTTTTGCTTTAACTGATCAAGCTTCTCTTCAATCTGAAAGGCGCAGGCATCGATCTGCTTGCACAAACTTGGAAGATGCAACACTTGGCCATGACTTTCGCCATGCTCCGGCGACTCGGCTCTCACTTGCTGTTCTCGAGAGTCTGCTCCAACTGCGCAAGCTCCCGGCGCAGGAGCGCCTGACGAGTCATCAGCTCGAGCTGCTGGTCCGCCGACATCTCCTCTTTCATCGGTCCGCTGGTCGTCCCTTCGTTGGCTCTTTTGGTCGAAGCCGACGCTTGGGAGCTGTCCATGGGGCACAGCTTCCATCCATCCAAGTCCTGATCGTCGGGACTCTTCGGAGTCATCTTTGGCTTGATCACCCTCGGGTGGTGGATCTCCTTCCCCTTGTCCTTGGTGTCGGCCTCGGTCGCCCTCTCCCCCAAGTCGTTGTGCTTCTCCTTCGCTCCGTCCAACTTCGCCTGCTCGGCCTTCGCCATTGCTCGAAGTCTGGCGATGCTGTAGTTCTTGAACGACTTTGCCCACGGGCTGGTTAACGAGCTCTTTCGGGCCATCAGGGCCGCGTAGGCAAGGTCGCTCTCGAACACAGTGCTGTGCTGCCGCCCTTTGTGTTTCCCTGCCGGGAGTACGATGGCTCCCCACTCCCGAAGAGTGGCGATGCCCGTCGGGCGATGGAACTCGGCCTCGATGAACTCCTCGAGTTGGATTTGCTCCTCGCTCAGGTCCTTGTCTTCCTCGCCCGAAAGTTGGGCATCTACGTCCAACTCGGGCAACTTTGCCTGGAGCTGCTGAGCACTCTTGCGATTCAGCCCAGGCATCGCACACACTGGACGTCGAAGGGATTTCAGGGGCTGGTGTTGCTGCTTGGTGAGCTGCTGACGGCTGCAGGGACTTGGTGTCTGCTTCTGCTGTTGCATGCTGCCGGTTCTCCGGCACTGATTCTGTCACTTGCAAGCAGTCCACGGGAGATGTGCATAACAAAGCTGACAGATTTACCACCGATAACCCTTTTGAATCCTTTTTAAGGGGGACCCATTTTTCGGGGAGTTGAATATAACCGTTTCGGACATGAATGATCGCATCTAACTCATGTAGCAACCGATTGGAAATCAACAGCGGGGTATCTCCCGGAATGACTTCTACTCGAACCCAGGAGGACCCTGATGTCGGAATGAGCAGAGCATGTTTTGATTTGAGTGTGCCACTGTTGCCAAATCTAAAGACAACGTCGGACACAGCTTTGCGAACGCCGGCACGGCATGCAGCATCCAGCCCTTCTAATATTTCTGGGACCCGTCTACTCCCCACTACGGTTCGACTAGCCCCAGTATCGAGGACCCCTTCTGCCCCAGTTGTGGCTACCATAATGGGCTCTGCATCCGGTGGCTTGCTACTATGCAAAACTGATGGCGCGGCAACTCTGCTCAAAACCGGCTGCTCAGGCTCCTTCCTGGTGGCGATGTTGCATCGCCCATTCTTCCTGGCGCACATTAACACTTTTCGTGCAACAACCTCTTTAAAGCTGGGACCTCTTTCCAACTTAGGAGCAAAGGCCATCAAGCACAAAGCTTCGCTAGGTTGAATTAAATTCCCCAATGAATCGGCCACAGTTTCCCTGCTCCCTTCGGTGATGTCCTCATCTCCGGAGGTCATCTCCATGTCGCCTTCGTCACTGTCCATGTAGAGCACGGAGTCCTGGGGCACCGTATGGAGAATCTCTGCGAGGTAGGGCATGTCGGGCTGCGGGGCTTCCACGGTGTAGTGCGTCACCTCGTTTCGTTGGTCATCACGTCCATCTGTCCCTTGGCGACGAGGACATTCCCTTTTCCAATGTCCACGCGCTCCACACAATTTGCAAGAGCTGTTTGCGATGCGGTCTGCTAGTGACCGATTTCTGCCCATCCCCCACGCGGGGTTCGAAGAGCTCGCTGCTCCCTTGCCCTTCTTTCCAAAGGACTTGCCCTTGCCACGGCCTTTGGAAGGTCCCCAAAATCCCCTGGCCTTGGCTTTGTCCCTCAGTTTTTGGCGTGCTTCTTGATACGAAATGTACACCGGAGCAAGCTCCGACTCTTGGATCGCTTCCACTATCGAGTCCTCGAACTCGGCGATGTAGATGGCGTCTGCGTCGTTCTGCTCCAAAAAGTAGCAAAGCAGATCCTCGTCATCCAGTTCCTCTTCTTGCGTGGAGGTGTAGAAGGCTTCTTCCGAGCCTTCCTCTTCCGTAAAGTGCAGGTCATACACTCGGCTTCGCTCTGCCACCTTGCTGCTGGAACTGTTCTTCGCCTGAAGTTCCCCAAAGAACTTGGAGCCCAGTAAGCGGATCGCCTTCACGGTCTCGGCATAACGGAGGTCTCCCTGGGACTCGATCACGACCTTCTTCTTGTCTTCGGGAGCCAGTTGCGAATGGCGAAGGAGGACATACGCCCTCACCTGTTCGATGGTTACGTTCCGAGCCAAAAGTTCCTCGAAGTAGGCATCGTGGCGGGCCACGTAGGAATCATTTGTCTCATCGTTGCGCTGGCTGACCTGGAAAATGGCCTGTTCAAAGTAGTGATACTTTTCCTCCATGAGGGTTCGACCCCATGATCCACCCAGAGTCTCGACCAGGATTTTCACTCCGTCCGCCTGCCTCAGCTTCTCAGGAGAAATTCGACTGATCTTCTGGAATGCGGACCCTTCCACCTGAAGAGCGGCCCTCGGCCCCAAAAGGTGGAGCTGGTCTTCCGGCCAAAGTTCCTTCAGAAATCTCATGCGCTGAACATACTCATCAACATTTGTCGTCCCCGGCACAAATTTAGGGATCTGTTGCCAAGGTAAATGGCCCAAACCACCAGCATATGTCCCGGCAGACGCTTCTGCTGGTCCACTCTCCGCCCCAGGCATGGCTCAACACTCTAAGGCCTGTGGATCTACGTCCCCTGTTTTCTTTATCTAGAACCCCTATTCCTAGATAAAGACAGGCCGGGCTCCGCTACCAATGTGAAAATGGTAGCCCGGACCTG